ATTTTTTTAAAATGTAATTTTGTGGCAAGATAACGTGCCACTTGTCATTTAACTGACGGAAGGACCATTTTGGTACCGAAAATGAAAGTTTGAGGATAATTTTGGTACTTTTTAAAGATGAGGGACAATTTTGGTACCAAAGTGGATAGTTGAGGGATCAAAATGGTACTTAAACCTTTTTTTTTTAGAAAAGTGAGGGAGATTATTTCTTGAGTTTCTATAAAACCATAATAAAGTTTAAAGGCTTCCTTGAGGAAGTGTAAAAGGGATTACATTTTGATAGAAGGATTTCTTTTGAAACCATAAAGAGGACCGTTTTGATTTTGACATGTTATATATTGTATGGATCATGTTGTGTCAAACTACATTATACTTTATCACACCTATTGAAATTAATGTTTGAGGAGATATTTGATACTTGTGATTGTGAGCGGTCTTGTGTTATTACAGACATAATGACCGCACAGTTCAGTATTGGTATTTTCATTGAACGAAATTCTGTACTGAGATTTTGATTTATATTTGTGGTCACTAAAGTTGTGTTTGATCTAAGAGTCATTTCTTTAAAATATATTTTTTAAAATTTTAAAACCAATTAGTGTTGCTCAAGTGGGAGAATGTTGGAAATTTTTATGTGGGCTGCTGCTAATTGTATTTGGTTTTTAAAAATTGGGTCAAATGGAAAAACCGATAAAGCCTAATAAAGTAATGTAATCTAAGTGGGCCTAGATTTTATCTCAGTTTTATATGATATCATATGAATAGGTGTAGGGCCTGAAAGTAAAGGTGGGCTACTTGATGGGGGTGCCCAAAAGATTATTATAATGGGTTAGGTCTTTTCTCCAATTCAAAAAACCCTACATCTATAAATGGTAGAGTTAGGGAGTGGCATGACCCATTGGTTGTCATTATACAGAAGTTGATTAGGGGGAGGAAGACCTAAATCCCAATACTAAATATATTTGTTTTGTAGTTTTTGTCATGAGATCCCTAATTATGATGATTATTGAAGATCCTTGAAAATTCTTAGGTAATATATTGATTATGGAGATTCAGGTACGTAATGTATTTATTTTATTAGATTTTGGTATCCTAAATCTTACGTATGTCAATCCTTAAAATTCCAACAAAACCACCCAATTGATTTTGCTTGGCTGGCTACGTCGCCTTTTTCATAAACTGTTAATAGTGGTCAGTTAAGTCGCCTATTTCACCATTTTTTGTTATTGTTCACATGTTTTGTTCATAGGAATTAGTTTATTCCACTACACCATTTTTCCCAACAGCTGGTATGAAAGCTAGGTGCTACTACTATTCACATGAACAGTGGAGGTGAATCAAAGCAAAATGATCACATTGAATAGTTCAAACTATTAGCTATGGAAAGGGAAAATGGAAGACCTTCTTTATGTGAAGGAATTTCATGAGCCTATCTTTTTAGAGCAAAAGCTAGACAATATGAAGGATGAAGAATAGAGGCTGCTCCGTAGGCGAGTGTGTGAATTTATCCAGCAGTGGATTGATGATAGTGTGTTAAATCATATCAATGATGAAACTAATACATGAACACTATGGACAAAGCTAGACCAGCTTTTCTGGGCAAAGACTGGGTAGAATAAATTGTGCCATATAAAGCAATTGATGTACTCAAGGTACAAAAATGACACTCCCATAGGAGACCATGTTAGTGATTTCCTTGGCATCATCAAAGAGCTAGTCAATCTAGGCATAGAATTTGATGATGAGGTGAATGGTTTGATTCTTCTCCACACCTTGCCAGAATCATGAGAGAGTTTTAGATCAACAATGATCAAATCATCTCCTGGTGTTAAAGTCACACTAAAAATTGCCAAAAGCAAGATCTTTGAAGAGGAAAAAAGAATTCGTGAATTGGGAATCTTCTTATAGTTGGGTACTCAAGCTCTTGTCATGGAGAACAAAGGTAGGAGTAAAACTAGAGAACCTAGAGGACGAGGCAGATCCAGATCAAAGTCCAAAAGTAGAGTGAAATGCTATCATTATGGCCAACCAGGCCACATGAAAAGGAAATGCAACTTGTTGAAAGGAAAAGACAAGAAAAAGGTTGAAGATAGCAATACAACCACTATAGCATCTACCAATGGCGGTGACGTGACTCTACCATGTGATTGTGGGAAGTGTTAACCACACAGAAAACTCAGATGCTGAGTGGATAATTTATTCTAGTGCCTTTTATCACTATGTTCTCCAAAGGGAATATTTTTCAACAGACAAAGTAGCAGGAGACTTTGACACCATAAAAATGAGAAAGAAGAGTGTTTCTCATATTATGGGAGTTGGTGATATTTGTGTCTAGAAAAATGTCGGATGCACATTGACACTAAAAAATGTACAACATATTCTTCATATGCGTATGAACTTGTTGTTTGCAAAAGCCCTGGATAAAGAAGGATACGCACACTACTTTGGGAATGGCAGCTAAAAACTCACCAAGGGTTCAATATTGGTGGCAAAAGGGAGAGCATGTTGCTCATTATACAAGACACACATGAAAATGTGTGGAGGTCAACTAAACACAGTTGAAGATGATGCTTCTCCAAATTTATGGCATAAAAGATTAGCTTACATAAGTGAGAAAGGATTGCAACTTTTGACTAAGCAGTCCCTTATTCCCGTTGCCAAAGGTGAACGTGTGAATCCTTGTGACGATTGCCTATTTGGAAAGCAACATTGAGTTTCTTTTCAAAAGAATTTGATTCAAAAGGAGAACAAGTTAGACTTGGTCTACTCTGACGTTTGTGGTCCCTTGGAGGCAAAATCATTTGGTGGTAATAAATATTTTGTTACCTTTATTGATGATGTGACTTGGAAGACTTGGGTATACTTGTTGCAAAATAAAGCCAAGTTTTTAAATATTTCTAGCATTACCATGCTACGGTTGAAAGGGAGATATGTTTGAAGTTGAAATGTCTCCATACAGATAATGGAAAGGAATACACCTCTAAAGAATTTAAAGACTATTGTTCTAAGCATGGCATAAGGCATGAGAAGATAGTTCCTAGCACCCCACAACACCATGGCGTTGTAGAACGAATAAATTGCACCATTGTGGAGAAAGTCTGATGCATGTTAAGAATGGCAACTCTACCTAAGCCATTTTGGGGTGAAGCAGTCAACACAACAGTGTATTTGATCAATCAATTGCCTTCAATTCCTTTGAACTTTGAAATCCCAAAGAAAACATGGACGGGAAAGGATGTTGGATACTCTCACTTGAGAATGTTTGGGTCCAAAGCATTTATGCATGTGCCAAAGGAACATAGATCAAAGTTGGATGATGAAGCCATTCCATGCATTTTTATTGGACATGGCGATGAGGAGTTTGGCTATAGACTATGAGACCCAGAAAAGAAGAAAATTGGCAGAAGTAGAGAAGTTGTGTTTAATGAACATGAGAAAATTAATGATTTGAAGGAGGAAAGAGCTATAAGAAGCTTTGGAAAGGGTGTAGAAGATCTAACACTGCCAAAAACTCCTTCAAGAAAAATTACAAATGAAGAAGAGGTGCAAGTAACAAAAGACGGACAGAGGAGCCAACAATTGAAGAAGATGAAGAAAGTGTAGATGAAGGAAGTAATGAGTAGGGGGAGCAACCTTTGCCACAAGAGGAAGGACCTCAGTTGAGAAGGTCCACTAGAGAGCACAAACCACTTGCAAGATACCCTAATTCTGATTATATCTTGATCATTGAAAAGGGGGAGTCGAAGAACTTCCAGGAGGTACAGTCTCATAAAGACAAAGATTGCTAGATAAAGGCCATATAAGAAGAAATGAACTCCTTACATAAGAACAATACTTATGAGCTTGTGGAACTTCCTAAAGGAAGACAAACCTTGAAGAATAAGTAGGTGTTTAAACTCAAGAAAGATGGTAACAAGATAGTTAGATATAAGGCTCGATTGGTGGTAAAGGGCTTCAATTAGAAAAAGGGGATTGATTTTGATGAAATATTTTCCCCAGCGGTAAAGATGACCTCAACTCGAGTTGTGCTCGGTCTAGCAACAAGCATGAATCTTGAGCTTGAGCAATTAGATGTGAAAACTACATTTCTCCATGGTGACTTGCATGAGGAAATTTATATAGATCAACCATAAGGTTTTAAAGAAGAAGGGAATGAGCATATGGTTTGCAAGTTGAAGAAGAGCTTGTATGGATTGAAACAAGCTCCAAGACAATGGTACAAGAAGTTTGACTCTTTTATAACAAATCATGGTTATAAAAGAACAAATGCAGATCCATGTGTTTACATCAGATCATTCCTTGATGGCAACTTCATTCTCCTTCTACTATATGTTGATGATATGCTGATTTTGGGACAAGATGTTGAGAAAATTTGTATGTTAAAAGAGGAGTTATCAAAGTCCTTTGACATGAAGGACTTAGGACCAACAAAGTAGATTTTGGGTATGGCTATTACCCATGATAGAAAGGCTGGAAAGCTGTGGTTATCACAAGAAAAGTATGTTGAATAGATGCTTGAAAGGTTCAACATGAAACATGCTAAGTTAGTTAGCACCCCTCTTGCAAATCACTATAAGCTAAGTAAACGATCTTGTCTAAGTACCAAAGAAGAAAAGGAGAAAATGTCACCTATTCCTTGTTCTTCTACAATTGGTTTGTTGATGTATGCGATGGTATGTACATGGCCAGACATTGCTCATGCTGTTGGTGTTGTGAGTAGATTCTTGTCTAATCTAGGCTAGATTCATGTAATACCCAGAATTTTTATTATTGTTATTATTATTTAATTCCTTAAGGATGTGTATGCAATAAGGTGGAAGTATGAGGACTAATGTGTATAATGGTGGTAAAGATGAAGGAGTGGCT